CACTGGATTAAGCTCAGGACTTGGCACGGGTGGTGTAACGGCTTGCCTCAACTCCTGGCGGACGATTTCGGCAACAGAAGCGACAGGCAGTTGGATAGGGAGAACGCAGAGGGCCCGAAGTTCCTCACGCAGTATTTCTCTAATCATTTGTCGCAGGGAACTTTCGCAGATGGCAGTATTCTGAGCTGCAGCACTTACTGCGGTGTAGTTTGGCAGGCGGTCAAAGTGTCGGCATCATTGTTGCAGTGCCGCTCGATGACAGTCGCCTCTCTTATGAATTCATCTACTGTTGTAGGTGGATTTCGTACAAGGCCTGCAAACACTGATTCCTCAACACCCTGCATTAGGTGACGCACCTTCTTCGCCTCGGGTATGTCAGGGTCAGCTAATCGAAACAGATGGATCATACCCTTTGCGTGCATGGTGGCTGTTTCGTTGGGTTTTTGCACGCGGTCTCAATCAGTTGCTGTGCACGATCCCGTCGGTCCAAGTTCAAAAATGTGGCAAGGAGCTTTCGACGGAAATCTTCCCAAGATTGGAACGTAGCCTCGCCGTTCTCGTATCACGTGCGAGTGCAATCTTCCAGTGCGAAATATGCATGGCTAAGTTTGTGCTGTTCGCTCCAGTGGTTGGACATAGCGACCCGTTTGAACTGTTCGAGCTAGTCCTTGACATCCTCGTACTCTTCCTCACAGAAAACTTCAGGAACGCGGGGATGTTCAATAGTCACCTGCAAAGGAAGAGTGGTCTGCGATGGAAGGAGAACCGTGGACATGGCAAGAGCTGCCATGCTGGTAAGAGGCGGAACAGGTACGGACTTAGGTCTAGTAGGCACCGACTGAATCGGTGCACCGGAGTCGTAACGAGGGGCTGAGTCTCTGGACTAGGTGAACGGGTCCGAGCAAGACTGTCCTGCATCAGGTTGTAGGCTCCAGCACCTCCACCAGTGTCAGGACGTCAAAACAGAGGTCTTGCCGCAGAGGTTGAGACACCAGAAGCAGGTCGGACTTTTAATAGAACGCGCAAGCGAATTCTTTTTTTTTTCGTCCATTTCATAGTCCTTCATGGCACATGCACAACTGTCATCGTCTTTCTTGAGCAAGCACATGACAATATCAAGCTTGCCTTCCTCTGTGACTTTGTTAGATAGAAGCAACAATTACATGTGCTTCTATGGAGCAATGGCGGGAAATACAAAAACTTCGTTATATTGAGGAATTCGTTATATGAAGGTTCGTTATAGACAAGTTTAACTGTACAACAATCATTTCGTTGTGCCCGACATTTCACACTATTTGTAATGGAAGGCTATGTGCATTGGCAAGTACTGTTTTAGTGGGTTCAATTAAAAGAGATTGCCCGATTTAGGCATGTATTGTATGAGGAGGACGAAGAAACTTTATTCAGAAAAAAAAATTTTAAAAAAGGCGGATGCAGCCACTTGTGGTCCGGCCCTCAGTTCAGGGCTCCGCTGGCACAAGTGGCTCGCTGGGCCTGGTAAAGTTTGGCTCTGCTTGGCTTCGTCTGCAAGCTATGCCTCCCACTGCTGTGTAACATGTGTGGATGGTTAGTAACGTGTGGATTGTCAATGTGTGTGGGCCTTTTGGTGCACTTCAGTGTTATATGGCTGAGTGTTGGTGTGTCTGAACACCATGGACATGTCACCTTACGGACAAAAGGTGGGTCATATGCAGGCAAAGAAAACGCCCTCCAGGAGGCCTTAAATAAAATCCAAGCTTTTGTCACCACAGCAGGGATGCAATTATCGCCGGAAAAGACTGAAATGGTTAGAATTAGGCTGAGATACGCAAGGAAAAAGGACTTAATACCGATAGAAGTACTGCTGGATGGGAGACCAATCAGGGCGGCAGAAGTCATACACGTTCTAGCAATGTGGATACAAGGAAATTCAGGTACAACACACACACTGCAAAGGCTGCGGGGAACCACAGAGGATGTGGCCCGGATGATCAGGCGGATAGCAAATAGCAAAGCGGGGCTAGAAGAAAAAAAAACCATTGCACTCGTTCATGCATTTGTTATCAGCAGAGTTATATATGTGCTGCCATACCAGACAATGACAAACCAGGAGACAAAACAAATCAACACTATCATAAGGAAAGCCTTCAAAGCAGCATTGGGTATTCCGGAATTCCAAAACTGAAGAGGTAGAAAAGTTGCGCATATACAATACCTTTGAGGAGTATGCGAATGCCGTGCTCATATCTCAAAAGGAAAGGCTGAATTCAAGTGCTCAGGGGAGAAGAATTCTCGAAAAGATAGGATTCACATTGCGCCCGCTATTTTGTGACAAGCAAACAGTGCTAATACAGTCGAGCCCGCTTATAACGAACCTGAGTTTGACGCGGCATCTGTTCGCTATATCCCAAAGTTCGTAGTAAGTGAAACACGGGTTTTCAAAAAGTTCCGAATGAAAACACAAAATTTTTTGCCCAAAAGAGTTCGTGACGCATGTATTTCGAAGAGCAGAAGCGATAAGGGCGGTCACGAGATTATTTTAAACGGTAGCGTTCTCTTCACCGTGCCCCGTGGCGTAAGATGCATGAGGCACTGGCTCCAAAGTTTCGTCGATCTCGCAATCCCATTTCTTCAAATCGCTTTTGACGCAGACTTCATTCACAATGCCCTAATCCGTGCACGGTTCCGGGTTGTCGGCATCATCATCGGGCGTGATGAAACTATCCCAATAGATGTCCCACCCGCTAGTCCCACCCGCAATAGATGTCCACCCGCTAGAGGATGAAGGGGTGCGTAACAAAAAGCGGTCGGGGAGAGCGGCAACGTGCAGAGGCAGGGTCGGCGTTTAACAATAAGAATCTATGTGCACCTTGCCGATGCCTGATCGGTGGTCGAAAGTGGTTTCTCGAGAAGTCGGCAGAACGCCGACTCCGTTCACTGTAAGCGATCGGGGGCGCACGGAGACATTCGTTGTAAGTGCGATTTTGTGCCATTGAAACAATGTATATTTTCACGGTCATGCGGATATTGTTCGTTTTAAGCGAAAGTTCATTTTAAGTGGGGCCGTTATATGTGGGCTCGACTGTAGATGCGGAAAAACACTCTCGTTTCACTTTGGCGCCTGTCCCCAGAAATATGCATCCGACGTGTCACGCAGGAGAAAGGCAAGAGCAGACTCTTTATGCAAATCATTTAAACATAGCCCTGAAGCTGTCTTTACAGACATCAGTAAAGCGAGTGGAGGGACACATGTAGTGGTAATTGTAGCACCAAATCACACCACAATGGCGTCGGTAAAAACACGTTTCACGTTAGTGGCAGAAGCAGCGGCAATAGCCATAGCCATATCTAACGCTGAAAGCAGGGGCGAATCAGTGGTGGTGCTTTCCGATTCACAGGCAGCATGCCGAATGTTTCTCCAAGATACGCTACCTAAACTAGTGTGCAACATCTTAAATAAGCCTATAACAGGAGATCATCACATTATATGGTGTCCTGCTCACGAAGGTCTGAAGGGCAACGTCATGGCAGACCGTATAGCTCGAGGCTTCACCAACTAAGTAATGGCAAGCACTAACGTTGAACCCCTTTCTAGTCCACGTGACATCCTTCCCCAACAAAGGGAGCAACGAAGAGAGTATGCATTCCCGCATAAAGACTTGTATTGTATGAAACAGCACAACTGTAGCACACCCTGTGCTGCTCCACAGGAAAGGGGGAAAAAAATCACCCAAATACTCCATAGTGATGGTTAACCAGCAAAGCTTAACTGCGCCGACCTGATGTGTATCTTTGTACTCGGTCTACATTTGCACCTGCTGTTCTTTTTGTGAACCAGTGGTGGGCAGTGGGGCTTGCCCTATTTCTGTAGCACATATGTGCTAGGAGTTTTGTACTTATGATTGACAAATTTTGCTTTTGCCTAATACGATTTTTCTGTAACTCTCAAATCAAAATGATGCTGCTTGCCACAACTGCTGTAAACGAAACCGCGTTTAACGCAACCATAGATTGGCACATAATTCTGAAATCACGGGCGTGGCCCACACACGCAATGAAAACGGAACTACCATTTGCCGCAACCGAACTGCACAAAACTGTGTTCCCTGTCAACAAAATTATGCTTGTCAACTACAAAACAAAGAAGGTGAGAAAGAGCACACTCATTCGATGCTCACGAAGTCAAAGTGGTGCTACTTTCCGCAACAACTGTGGACGAAACCATGGCAGACGTAATCATACGTAGCGTGACCTTGTGTTGTGCACACATGACAACACGTGACATAGTGTTGTAGGCACTGGCACAGCCAGCGCACAGGTGGGTGTAAATGGAACTACAGTTTTATGCAACCGCTGGGCGCACTGCCGTGGTGGCTAACACTGCGTTAGATTACAAGCAAATAAGTTTGAAAAAATGCACGAAGCATTTTGGCATTTTTATCATTCACTGCACTCAACAGGGCCATTGGTCCATTCGGTTGTGTCCTAGAAAGATGTATGTGTGTTCTTTTGATATAATTTAATATTTTTTATGTATATAGTGGTTTGAAAAGAAGTTTCGCCAGTTTTTGGTAATATAGTATTTTAGGTGATGCAAACAGTTGTGCTCCCCCTTGAGGTTCATACCGTTGGCATACTATTGTAGTTTATGAAATAAGAGCGAGTGAGGGACCTTTGGCTGTTTGTGAAGCTAAATATTCAATTTCCTGCTACATGCAGGGCTATTATATTTGGCTTCATGTTCACATCCTCTGCTACTGATTTGCAGCATTTTCTGACACAAGCTCTTTGAAAAGCTGTCATGCTTTTCATAATGTACTGTTTCATGAGAGTGCCTATAAAAAGTATTGTAGAAACAAGTTTTTAAAATTTAGAAAGTATCTCATGAGCTCTGCATCAAGTCTATTTTACATGTGGCTGTGTAATTTTTTTTTTTCACATTTATTTTAGGCAGCATGCACCCATTTACTTCATGAGTGTCTTCATTGTTTCACATGCCATTATTGTTATGCACTTTGCAGAAATGAACAAAGAAAGGAGTGAGGATGACAGCGCAAATACTGTCGTCAACCAGCATTGCACCGCTTTCCTTGACATGAAGGATTTCAACCATGTGTACCTCTGGAAGGTCACCTCCCCATCAGATTTCTACATACAGCCATTGAAGTTCAATTCATGGTATGTATCAGATGCATGTTTGGGTTCTCTTAGGTTCAGTTGAAACATTCTGCTTGATATTAGATGTTTCAGTTATGAAGCTATGCTCTTTCATCATTCATAGCTAGACCTAGGATCTCTTGTAGCGCTTTTTTTTATTCTTGTAGGCCTCTATGAGTAGCTGGTTAATAATTTCTTATAGATATTGAAGTTTGCTTTATTCAGACATGTACGCATGTATAAAATGTATCATGCCAGTGAAATGAGGCAAAAGGAAACAAACAAAGTGGGCTTTCTGACAATCCCTACATTCCAGGTTATGGAAGATGTAACATCAAATTAGTCATGTTATTAATAGGTGTATGCCAGTACTGCTTTATTCAATCTAGTTTCGAGAGAATTCTGTGTCCTGGTGGTGAAGTCAAGAACTAGTTCAGTGAATGTCATTTTCTCATTCTAATATGTTTCCTTGTTGCGCTAAAAATGAAAACATAAGTATGCACTTTCTTCATCCGTTATGTCTTCTTCCTAGTTTGGATGAACTTGAGAATAACATCCAGAAGACAATGAAGAGAAGGGAATTGAGAAAGCTGAGGTCTTGTCATCCTGGAGCACTGTGCATTGCTCACTACAATAACGACGGGTAAGAACCTAGATTGACATGTTTGTGTACAGCACACCTGCGTGTGATGAAGCTGTACTTGCGGCCAAAAGCTGTTACAAAATTATTCGTGGGTACTAATGAGCAATTTCTTTATCATGGAGGGCAAAAGTCATAGGCTAGTTATGGAGCTGCTTAAGTGATAGCTATCAAACGTTGCGGGAAAGTTTACTTTCTTGTGAAGATATTGGCAAAAACAATGTACCAAGAAGTACCTTGATGCCGAGCCGACTCTGTGAACACCGAGGACATTCCCTTGCGGATGCAGCTGTGAGGCTAATGTGACCAGACTACTGCTGCAGCTAGGGACTGAGCTTAGTGTTTAAAATGGGAGCATTTCCATTAGTGTTGTTTGGATCAGTTTGGAATTTTCGTGCAATGATTGCAGTGTTAATTATTTTTGCTGTGCCACCACCATCATATGCTTCTCAGTCCCTCTTAGTGCGAGCAATCTCAAGGCTTATGACACACCCATGCCAGAGAGCACCATACACATTGGCAGCTTACACGCAGAATTAAATTGAAGCTAGATAAACGCTTGCAAACAGTTTGCTAGCTTATGCAATCTGTTTGGAAGCCTTAACTTACCATCATTCATATGGTAGTTGAATGACCGCAGTGCGAGATTGCTTTTTAGTATTTGCATTATGAAACTATATGGTTTTCAAGCTGCAAATACATATTCCAAAGGACCATGTTTTCTCTTGAAGGGACTTTAAAATGTCATGGGTGTCTTGCCCTAAGTTTGGGGTGCAATCAATACACGAGTGTGATCATTATGTGAGTGAATACAGTATGTAGTCCAACTTAGTTTAACAGTGTTGACAATGCACCTAGCTCTCTCTTCTAGGCTTGTGCGAATAGGGAATTTAAGGTTCAAAGTGAATTTGAAGCGAATATTGATTTTGGTCAAATAATGTCTTATCAATTCAATTAGTATATATATCACATATAAAGAAAAATAGGCATATTTATTATGACCTAACTAACCTGCACAATATTTTAAAACATTGAAATAAGGCCTCTGTGCAAATGCTTTTTTTTTTTCTTCTTTTTTTTTCATTCAAAGAAAGTCGAAACAACTTTCACTAGTAGCATGATTTGACTGAGTAGTTGCAGGATTTTTTACAGTGATAACCTGTAAAATACGTACCATTTTAAAATATAGTTGGAGCATATAAGCTGGCATAACAAGCTTTTAAGCTTAGCAAAGTGATGATTGATTTGAGAGTAATATGTTCATTTAAAGGGGCCCTGCAACACCTTTCAAGTAGCCATGGAATGAATTCTCTAAAGAGGCTCGTTATTTCATGAATTCACTGCTGCTAAAATTTTTAGAATCTATCTAGTATGAGCGGAGTTGCAAAGATTTGTCGCACGCTGCTATTCGCGTCGAGATCGGGCTATAAGTGGCAGCATTGTCCCCACGCAAGTGTGGATAGACGTTCGGAGGCGCGTATACATGTGCACACAGCAACACTTCGTTACGTATGGTCTGAGCCGATTGTTGGCGGATGAAATGCGTTGACTGCAGTTTACTGTTAATATCTACACTCTTCTCTACTCAACCGGTGCACGACACCTATGCAACGTTAACATTACCCCCATGTTTTGAAACATTACTGCGTGTTTTGAAACATAATCGCATGCTGTGTTCAAACCCGCCTCTTACCGTTCTTCGTGTCTGCCCATTTCCACTTCTTGCTTCATTCTCTGAAGGTGCAAAATATCGTCTATTCATTCACAAAAAAAAATTAAGAAGGAGAAGAACATAATCACTGAACAAGCGGCAACAAATGCGCCTCAGACTTTTGCGTATTTCCTCCCCGATTACTCTGCGCAGTAGGCACCTTGAAGCAGTGAAGGGATAGGCCTCAAACCGGAAATACCGTAGTAGACGACACGCCATTTTACTATCCACCTATTGCATTCTCTGTTCTCTCGTCTCGACGAAAGCACTGGAAGCCCCAGTGATGTTCTGTACTACGCCGAAGAATTCCCATTCAGAGATATGAAAATTCCCTATTATTAGAATTTTTCCCTGCAAGTATTGACAAAATTCCCAGAAAAATTTCCTGCACAACAGTAACAATTTCTGCCCTCATCCACGCGCATACATACTATAATTACACGTCTGGTGTACTCATTATGATCATCATCAGCCTGACTACGTCCACTGCAGGACAAAGGCCTCTCCCATGTTCTGCCAGTCAACTCGGTCCTGTGCTTGCTGCTGCCAATTTATACCCGTGAACTTCTTGATCTCATCTGCCCACCTAACCTTCTGTCTCCCCTTAAGCCGACTGCCTTCGCTAAGAATCCAGTTAGTTACCCTTAATGACCTGCAGGTATCCTGTCTATGCACTACGTGCCCGGCCCATGTCCATTTCCTCTCCTTGATTTCAACTATGATATCCTTGACCCCCGTTTGTTTTCTAATCCACTCTGCTCTCTTCTTGTCTTTTAAGGTTACACCTACTATTTTTCTTTTCATTGCTCGCTGTGTCGTCCTCAATTTAAGCTGAACCCTCTTTGTAAGTCTCCAGGTTTCTGCTTCATAGCTAAGTACCGGCAAGATGCAGCTGTCATATACCTTCCCCTTGAGGGATAGTGGCAATCTACCTGTCATGATTTGAGAGTGCTTGCCAAATGTACTCCACCCCATTCTTATTCTTCTAGTTACTTCAATGTCGTGGTTCGGCTCAGTGGTTATTACCTGCCCTAAGTAGACATAGTCTTTTACAACATGAAGTGCACTATCACCTATCTCGAAGAGCTGCTCTCTTCCGAGGTTATTGTACATTACTTTCGTTTTCTGCAGATTAATTTTAAGACCCACCTTTCTGCTCTCCTTGTTTAACTCCGTAATCATGAGTTGCAATTCGTGTCCTGAGTTACTCAGCAATGCAATGTCATCGGCGAAGCTTGGGTTACTAAGGTACTCTCCCTTAACTCTTATGTCTAACTGTTCCCATTCTAGGCCTCTGAAAACCTCCTGTAAGCACGCGGTAAATAGCATTGGGGAGATTGTATCCCTCTGCCTTACACCCTTCTTGATTGGTATTCTGTTGCTTTCTTTATGAAGCACTATGGTAGCAGTTGATCCCCTGTAGATTTCTTCCAGAATGTTTATATATACTTCATCTACGCCCTGATTCCGCAGTGTTTGCATGACGGCTGATATTTCTACTGAATCAAACGCCTTCTCGTAATCTATGAAGGCTATGTATAGTGGTTGGTTATACTCTGAGCATTTCTCTATTACCTAATTGATAGTATGAATGAGGTCAATTGTTGAGTAGCCTGTTCGAAATCCTGCTTGTTCCTTTGGTTGATTGAATTCTGTTTTCTTTACTCTGTTAGCAATTACCTTTGTAAATAGCTTGTATACTACAGAGAGCAAGCTGATCGGCCTGTAATTCTTCAAGTCCTTGTCATCTCCTTTCTTATGTATTAAGATGATGTTAGCGTTCTTCCAAGACTCTGGTACTCTTCCCGTCAGGAGACACCTCGTAAACAGGGTGGCTAGTTTTTCTAACACAATCTGTCCTCCATCTTTCAGCAGATCTGATGTTACCTGATCCTCACCAGCAGCTTTGCCTCTTTGCATGCTCTCCAAAGCTTTTCTGACTTCTTCTATCATTACTGGTGGGGTGTTATCTGGGTCACTGCTAGTTCTTATAGTATTAAGGTCGTGGTTGTCTCGGCTACAGTACAGATCTCTGTAAAAATCCTCCGCTATTTTAACTATCCTATCCATATTGGTAGTTATCTTGCCTTCTTTGTCCCTTAGTGCATACATCCGATTTTTGCCTATCCCAAGTTTCCTCTTCACTGCTTTGACGCTTCCTCCGTTTTTCAGAGCGTGTTCAATTCTCTACATGTTATACCTTGTTACATCAGATACCTTACGCTTATTAATCAACTTCAAAAGCTCTGCCAGTTCTATTTTGTCTATTGTACTGGAGACTTTCATGTTTTGACGCCTTTTAATGAGGTTCTTCATCTTCTGGGACAGCTTGCCAGTGTCCTGTCTAAGTACCGTACCTCCAACTTCCACTGCACACTCTGTAATGATATTCGTCAGATTATCATTCATTACGTCAATACTAAGGCTGGTTTCCTTGGTAAGAGCAGAGTACCTGTTCTGAAGTGAGACTGAATTCCTCTACTTTCCCTCTCAGTGCCAGCTCATTGATTGGCTTCTTGCGTATCAATTTCTGTTGTTCCTTTTTCAAATCTAGGCGGATTCGAGATCCTATCATTCTATGGTCATTGCATCGTACCTTGCCAAGCACTTCCACATCCTTCACGATGCCTGGGTGTGCACTCATTATAAAGTCTATTTCGTTCTTATTTTCTCCACTAGGGCTACTCTATGTCCACTTACAGTTTCCTCGTTTTCGATAGAAGGTATTCAAGATCCGTAAATTATTAGGTTTTGCGAGTTCTATTTACAGCTCCCTTCTGGCATTTCCAGTACCGATGCCGTAATCTCCTACTGCCCGGTCTCCAGTCTGCTTCTTCGCTACCTTGGCATTGAAGTCTCCCATCAGATAGTATGCTGTGGTTTTACCTTACTCATTGCCGATTCCACGTCTTCATAGAAGCTTTCAATTGACGCGTCGTCATGGCTAGATGTAGGTGCGTAAGCCTGTACGACCTTCATCTTGTTTCTCTTATTGAGTTTAATTACGATACCTACCACCATTCATTACTGCTATATTATTTCTTTATGTTGCCACCTATGCTTCTGTGAATAAGGACCCCCACTCCCAGTTTTCTTCTGTCAGCCAAGCCCCGATAGCAAAGGACGTGCCCATTCTGTAGCACCGTATAGGCCTCATCTGTCCTCCTAACCTCACTGAATCCTATTATATCCCATTTAAGACCCTCTAGCTCCTCGAATAGTACACCTAGACTTGTCTCACTAGATAAGGTTCTAGCGTTAAACGTTGCCATATTCAGGTTCCAATGGCGGC